GCCCCCTAAGAAAACCACCTGCTTCGGTTTGGGCACCCAGGCAGTATCACAGCCCACACACAAATAAATGAAATGATGAACTCTATTGACGATACTATCCCTGCTGATACTAGTAGCAAGACATTTTACATTATTATTATTACCTTTATTATTATCATTATTACTATTATTACTATTATTATTATTATTATTATTATTATTATTATTATTATTATTATTATTATTATTATTATTATTTGCCATATCACTAACTCACCCCCTTTTATCCCCAATTTGTGTATCCTTACTTTTCAACTTATGCAGCAGCTCGCCCATGGTGGAAAATCTGTCCTATCTAAACGATCTCCAGTCACTGTCTGGTTGAAAGTGAATGCTTCCACCGATTACGAATACTGAAGCAGTTTTTCTGAAACCACGTACGCCGTTCAAGCTGGCTTCCTTCAACGTTCGCACACTAATGCATATCAGACAACAGATAGAGCTGGCTATGTCTTTGGAAGGTCTTAATGTTGATGTTTGTTGTCTATCCGAGACCCGTATTCAAGACTCTAGTGAAGTACTACAAATCCGCTCTCCATCTGTCACCTCGAAAAGGTTGTTCCACGTGCGCTTATTCGGGGACCCTGTGGCATCTTCGTCTGGTCTTGCTGGCGTTGGTGTTGCACTAAGCGCTAGGGCTGAGGCAGCACTAATCGATTGGATCCCCATTAACAGTCGGTTATGTGCTGTTAGATTGGAAAGTTCCATGAAATTGAGAAGAAATCGGCGTGAGAAGCGGTGTCTTTTTGTCATCTCCGCCTATGCCCCGACAGATTGCAGCCCGGATGCAATCAAGGATGAGTTTTACCATCAGTTAACAGTTCTCCAGAAAGCGCGTTCGACAGATATTGTAGTACTAGCCGGAGACTTGAATGCACAGGTCGGGCGTCTAGGCACAGAAGAGAGTCGTTTAGGTGGCCGATGGGGACTTGTTGGTCGCAGGACAGATAACGGGGACCGTTTGCTGCAACTGTGCACAGACCACAACCTGTTTCTGGCCAGCACTAACTTCCGGCACAGTCATCGCCGGTGTGCCACCTGACGTCCTCCCTCTGCATCCCAAGCCTGGACTCAGATTGATCACATCGCGATCAGCTACCGCTGGCGTGGTTGTGTACAAGACTGCCGCTCCTTTTGGAGTACCTATCTGGAGTCTGATCATGCCCTGGTCTGCGCCAATCTCACCTTACTTTTCAGTGGTCGAAGGATTGACCACCACCAACGGATTGATGTTAGTAAACTGGCTGCAACTTCTGTTGCAAGTAAGTATCGAGCGGAGCTAGCCTCTAGGCTAGCTACCACCCCACCGAAAAGTATAGATGAGCATTGGTTGCTTCTTCACGACGCCATGAAAATGGCGAGTAAAGCCGCTTGTGGCTTCGCGAAACGTCCCGCTTACAAGCACTGGGTTTCTTCTGGCTCCTTACAACTGATGGAAGCCCGTCGGTCTACTCCGGGTGACCGTGAGTTTGACCACAAACGAAGGCTGTTACGTAATGAAATCGGGCAAAGCTTGCGTAAGGACCGGGAAGCCTGGTGGTCGGAGCGTGCTAATGAGATGGAAGCAGCAGCTGCATCTGGTAACTGCCGGAAGCTCTTCCAACTCATCCGAGTCACCGGCAGCAAGAAGTCTGGTGTGAGTGAAACAATCTACGAGGATGATGGGATGCCAATCACTAATATCTCTCGACGTCTTGGACGATGGGCGGAATTCTTCGAAGGGCAGTTCAACTGGCCTGCTGCTCCGGCAACATCAACCAGCTTGTCCTGCCCTCCATGGCCGGTGACGACTGATCCACCAAACGAGGCGGAAGTCCACAAGGAACTCCAACTCTTGAAGCGTTACAAATCACCGGGCCCAGATGACTTACCTCCGGCTCTTTTTAAAGATGGTGGTGACCTTCTGACTAAGGAATTGACTGTGTTGTTTGGAAAGGTTTGGGAACAAGAAAGTGTTCCAACATCTTGGAATGAGTCGATAGTCGTCCCTATCTTTAAAAAGGGTTCACGTTGTTCTTGCAATAACTATCGGGGGATAAGTCTACTTTCGATTGCGTCCAAACTATTGGCTTCTATCATTCTTCGTAGGTTGTTTAAAACCCGAGAACGATTGACTCGCGAGGAGCAGGCTGGTTTTCGTTCTGGTCGAGGATGCATTGATAACATCTTCACCCTCCGCCAAATGTTAGAACACCGTCATACTTATCGCAGGCCAACAATCGTAGTGTTTCTTGATATCAGGGCGGCCTTCGATTCGTTGGACAGGACTGTTCTCTGGGATTGTCTGTTGAAGAAGGGTGTGCCTGAGAAGTTCATTAACATCTCAAAGGCCCTGTATACGAACACCTCAGGCAGAGTGAGGGCATACAACCACCTTTCTCCCTTGTTCCATTCGAACAGTGGGGTTAGACAGGGTTGCCCGATCTCACCATTCCTCTTCAACTTTGCCATCGACGACATCCTGGAAACAGCTCTGGTGGATGTAAGTAATGGCGGTGTGGATATGTTGCCTGGAGAACGACTTCTCGACCTCGAGTATGAGGATGATATTGTCTTACTGTGCGATAATGCTCAAGCCATGCGATTCGCACTTAATCAGTTGGCAATCAGTGTCCGCAGGTACGGCATGTGCTTTGCGCCCTCCAAGTGCAAAGTACTCCTACAAGACTGACAGGATTCTCATCCTGTACTCACCCTGGACGGTGAGCAGATTGAAGTAGTTGAGAAGTTCGTGTATCTAGGTAGCTATATAAGTGCTGGTGGTGGCGTGAGTGATGAGATTGATGCACGTATAATGAAAGCCAGAGCGGCTTATGCCAATCTGGGCCATCTTTGGCGCCTTCATGATGTTAGTCTGGCTGTAAGAAGTCGGATCTACAACGCGTCGGTGAGAGCAGTTTTGCTCTATGCTTGTGAAACCTGGCCTCTCCGAGTTGAGGATGTTAGACGACTCTCTGTGTTCGATCATCGTTGTCTCCGAAGGATTGCTGACATCCAGTGGCAGCACCATGTTAGTAATGCAGAGGTTTGGCATCGTGTGTTCTGGCGCAGGGATGATAATTCAATTGGTGTCACCATCTTGAAACACCGACTTCGGTGGCTTGGACATGTTTTACGAATGTCGTCCCAGAGACTTCCACGTCGTGCATTATTTGCCGACCCTGGGACTGGTTGGAAAAAGCGGAGAGGAGGTCAGTGTATGACATGGTGTTGTGGCATGAAAGAAAGCTGCAAAGGGCTAGCTTCTGTTGGTCCTTCACGACTCCCTGGCTGGGGTCCGAGAGATGGTGCAACACAGTGGCTAGAGACGTTATCAGATATGGCTCAGAATAGAAGCCAGTGGCGATCCTGCTGCAACCTTCTTTTACTTTGTACATAAAGAATGGTTCTAACTTTCTTAACTGAAAGAGTCTTCTGGTTGTACATTTCAGTCCGCCTTATCATTTTATCCCTTCTCTTCCTACTTTCATTATTTTGTGTGGCGCATATGTACCTGGTGCCCTTTTGTACCAATATATATGTGTTAAATAAATAAATTAGTACAGCTTGAAACGAACAGCTATAAAAGTTATTGTTAGCTAGCACAGGACTGTGGTTTAAAATACAACTATATAAAATATGTATTATAATTGTCCTAGTCCCCTGAATGACTAGAAATCAAAGACAAAACCAGATTAATAGTTTCTTCACGTTATGAAATAACATGCTTCTATACAATACTTGAACAATAAATAAACACAATAAAATATAGGCCACCAAGGAGAATTAGCATGTAGGTCAATCATTCTCCAGTCAATTAAGACCTGATTGTTAAACCTAATCTTTGGGCATCGTATCACGTTTGTCCATCTGTCACAACCTTACGACTGGAATCCTAGAGATTACTGAAATTCGTGACTTGGAATGTTATCAATTTAGAGTGAAAGCCAGTAGATAAAACTTCTTGGGGTCAGTCGTGGGATACTTGTTATGGTGTTTCACAACATCTTTTAAGGAACAAAAAAGTAAACATCAATGTTTCGAACGTGAATCACTAAATCTATACGAATATATATCGTGTTTAAGCTTTGTATGGATATCTGGCGTGATAAATTAGTGCATGGACCAGTTCGCTTTCAATCATTGGGTTGCTGGTTCCAACCATGCGCTACATTTTTCGATCTCAGAAGTCAGATAATAACTTATTTACCAAGTCCAGTTTTATGTTTTTGACCTTTTTGGACCGGATTCTACTGCCTGAATTGAATCAGATGGTCATATCCGGATCAGTAGCTACATATAAAGCAGAGTGATTTAACCATTAATCTGTCGAGTAATATCACCGACCCTCACATAAAGTGTACCACAAAGCCCGAGAACATACTCTCATGTACTTGGGTGTTAAGTTATACTGTTATCATCTGGCTAATGCTTATATTTATGGCGTAGACTAATTAACTCACTTAATTCAGGCTTCTCAGTCAATTGCTTCGACTTAGGCGCCCGGACAGTATTCTAGCTTTCACACAAGTCGGATTTGTAAGGCGTATATACATTTGGTGTCTCTTCGTACCAGTATTTATGTGTTCAAATAAATCAATAAATTTCAGTCGACCTGATATGCAATGAGAATGTCAAAGTTTGATGTTTGGATGTAAATGTTTTGTTTTTGGAAACTTATGGTGCTGTTTTGTTTCGACAGATTGTGTGGCTAAAAGTCGTCCGCTTGTTGCTAGTTGGAAAGTGTTCCTTTGAAATTGTGTTAGTATTTCATTTAATTGAGCTGCCTTTATTGAATATCCTGATGGTTTAGAAATTTGTCAGCACAACATTTATACATTTATTATCACTGTTAAACTAACCTTGTGTGCTTCTATGGTTTATACATGACGTGTCTGTTTTGTTTCTTAATGATTATTCTCAATAATATTTTTATGTACCACACCATATGTTTCAAGTTTTAACTGTTTTCTACTTTGTAGTTGTTATTTAACAAAACTCACACTTGGATGACTAATGATGAAGGGTTGCAGCGTCAGCTGCTTCAAGAATTACAAAAACAACGATTCCAACAATTGGGTCATCAGTTAACTTCAATCTGTTGGGATAAATGTGTTACAAAATTAAGTACTTCACTTGACTCTAGAACTGAGAATTGTATAGTTAATTGTGTAGAGCGTTACATTGATGTTTCCGGCGCACTTACTCGTCGTCAGAATGAAACACGTTTAGGATTTATGGATGTACAACCTAATGATTAGTTAATAAAAACCCATTGATTGCAAGCTTCTTTCTTCTCAATTCAAACCTTTGGTTTTTTAAAAACAATTCACTGACCTGACTTATATTTCAGATGATTAATTTCCCTTCAATACGGTAAGATGTCAATAAAATGTATGTGATGTTTTATTTGTTACTTTCAGTCTGCTTAAATGCACTGTTGGATCTGTATTTTGTTCAGTAGGTCTTATTTTCAAATAAAATAAATACTAAAAAATAATGCTAATTAAAACAACCAGGTGCCATTTTCACGTTTATTATCAAATGCTACTACTTATCCGGAGTACGGAATTATAAATATTCAAGATGATAGTGATTTTCATAAACGTGTATTAAATAATCCAGCACCCGTCATCGTTGACTTTCATGCTAAATGGTGAGTGACTACTGTGTAACCTATACAGAATTTAATAGTAATTTTCAATTGATATCCCAAAAGATACTGGTCGAAAGCTGTGTATCGCTTCTCCTCATGTGTTTAGACTAACTAAATTTGATTTTTCATCATTAAGGATTCTTAGAATGAGTGCGTGTGCTATCAACAGGATCAAAAGTTATAGTTCTGGAATATGTTTTCATTTTTAAAGAAAATCATTGCAGGGTTGTATCGTTCTCAATTTTAGACTCGAAATCTTGAGAATACTTTGGTTTTGCCATTAGTTCGAATAGTGTTGGGGCTGTTTGTGACACTAAGTGTCTTTGATTTACTCACAATTATATGATATAATGTATCGCTTTTGTGTCTCTGTCTTTTAAATTCTTATGACGAAGTAATTTTGAAGAAGCGATGAATGCTCATACTGTAGGTATTGTTTAATAGTGGAGTCTAGGAAACTGAGACTCAATCCTGAAACCCGTCTCCTTAAATACCAGTGGTTCATCTATTCGAGTATTAAATTACATTAAACATATAGTTTGTTTTAATGTGAGCATGAATACTGTAATGTATCGGGGACGTCTCCGCTACATACAGTAGAACTGTCTTGACATTTGTATTGAAAATTATGATATTGGTGATGGTTGACAATTCTTTTGAGTTCCAGATGTTCTTCAGTTGTGAATATGCTGCACTTGCTTTTCTGATTCGCGCCCTCATATCTGTATTAGATCCACCGTGTTCATCGATGATGCTGCCCAGATATGTAAAGGTTTTTACATCCTCCAAAGCTTCTCCGTCAATTGTGATTCGATTGGTGCATGCTGTATTGTATTGGAGAGTCTTGCTTTTCTCTTTGTGTATATTGAAACCTAGTGCTGCTGAGACTACTGCTACACCGGTCGTTTTCTGCATTTGTTGTTGCGTGTGTGATAGGAGAGCCAGATAATCTATGAAGTCTAAATCATCCAGCTGCATCCTAGTTGTCCATTGTATCCCGTGCTTTCCTCCAGATGTTGACGTTTTCATGATCCAGTCGATGACCAGGAGAAAGAGAAAGGGTGAGAGCAAGCAACCTTGCCTGACACCGGTCTTTACCCCAAACGAGTCAGTGAGTTGTCCTCCATGCATGATTTCGCAGTTTAATCCACCAAAGGAATTCCGTATGGTATTGACTATCTTCTCAGGCACGCCGTGGTGTCGAAGAAGCCTCCATAGTTTTGTCGTGTCCATGCTATCAAATGCTTTCTCGTAGTCAATGAAGTTGATATAGAGTGATGAATTCCATTCAATTGATTGTTCCACAATGATCCGTAGAGTTGCGATTTGGTCTGTAGACGATCGATCCTTACAGAATCCAGCCTGTTGATCTCGAAGTTCGACGTCTATTGAGTCCTTCATTCCGTTTAACAATACCCTGTTGAAGACTTTTCCTGGTATTGAGAGAAGAGTGATGCCCTTGTAGTTATCATACTTGCTGCGATCACCAAATATATATGCACCGTACAAATCTCATTCAAATAGTGTAAGGGCTGTGATACTGCCCAGGTGCCTAAAGTGAAGCAGGTTATTTTCTTAAGAGACCACACCCGGAGCCTTTGACCTAAATGTTTGATACACAAGGCAGTGGAGCATCGTGAGTAGATGCAGTCCCATGGTAGCCGGTGATCAACGGTTGATTCATACTCCATTTGTTCCCTCAGGATACTGCAGCTCATGTGCACCATTGGTTTGGAGTCGGGGTTTTCCAACTACCCTAGGTGTACTTTCCGTGTCCACCAACCCAGTTAAAGCTCTGAACATTCGCTTTTCATCCTCTCGATTTCGTAAACAACACTCGCGCCAAGAGGAGGCAGTGAGTAGGACTTCCTTGTCAGAGGCTATATACGCGTGGCCATGCGGGAGCATTTAGAGAGGGAGAGCGAACTCTCCCAACTATCGGCCGTAACAGGGCATTTGGGGGTACCTATTGCTGAGGGCTATCTTGAATTTGTTGAGTTTGTCAGTATACCGAAGAAAAGCCATATTAAACTTTTGTGATGTTGTCCGCCCCGTTGTCCAGAGCTTCTTAAGTTTTAATTTCATCTTGGCGACCAGCAAGTGATGATCTGAGGTTATATTAGCTCCGCTCTTGGTTCTCACGTCCTCTTGAATTTTGTATTGATGCAGATATATTCGATTTGGTTCTGAGTAGCGTGATCCGGTGAAATCCATGTGGCTTTGTGTATGTATTCATGTAGGAATATGGTGCCGCCTATGACCAGTTTATTGAAGGCACATACGTTTTCAAATCTCTCACCATTTTCGTACCTTTCTCCCAGTCCATTATAGCAACCATTCTACAATCAATTTCGATTATAGCCAATTTTGGTTAATCCCTTTTTATAACTTACTTAACAGACATCGTTATTTGGATAGTAACAATTTGCATATTCTTTGCACTGCTATACCACTAGAGCACATGACACTCTATCCGAAATGTTGACTGCTTAAATATCATTCGATGACTCATACTCCTCCCCATATGTGTACGCACGCAAATATTATTATCAGCCTTTGTTTTGCTTTGATGTGCCCTTATTAAATCTGACTATAAATTGCCTATGTAATTGTTTGCTATTTGCTCGCTTGTTCGCCTGTTCATTCGCTCTCTCGCTCGTTGATATTCGCTCGGGTGTTGTTAGCTTTCTAACCTGAGTTATTCGACAATAAACTGTAGTTGCTGCTACCCTTTGTTTTCTGATTTTACGCACCGCTAAGATTAGAATTATAACGGTTAACGAATCGCGGCACTACACCATATCGTCCCATGACGTCTTTGTATCCAGTGTTGTCTATTCCAACCTTGGCATTTAAATCTCCTATCAGAATGATCAGGTCCTTTGTTGGGCACGTCTCTACGATTGACTGCAGCCTATCGTAGAATTGGTCTTTGGTAGGTGCATAACATTAGATGACGTTCATTGTGATGCCTTCTTTCTTTATTTTGAAGGAGGCTTTGATTATCCTTGATCCATGAGATTCTCATCCTATAAGTGCATTTTGTGCTTGTTTGTACAGCATCAATGCAACTCCTTGTGTATGTGGGGCATTTTCTTCTTCATTATCGGAGTATAACAGAAGTTCCTCTGAAGATAATCGTTGTTGTCCAACCTGCGTCCCATGTGTTACACTGATCCCAAGCACCTCCAGGTTGTATTTTCTCATTTCTGCAGCAATTTGAAAGACTCTTCTGGTCTCCCACATTGTCCGGACGTTCGACGATGTACCTACGAAAATTGTTCTGGTTGTTAGAAGGGGCATCGGCCTCGTGACTTCCTAAGGAACTCAACTTTCATCCTGGGGCGACATAATTCTTCCTTCAACTCCCAGGGCAGAGTTTAAGTATTTTAAATAATTTTTCCTGGTTAGCGTTTTTCTAGCGAGTGTGTTTTCTACGGGATGGGGTCGCTAACCCCATGCCCAACCCTCCTTTATCCGGGTTTGGGACCGGCAGTAGCCCCCGGAGGGGCTACAGGCGGGGTTTTCCCATACACTTAATTACCTTATATCTTGATGTTCAATGATGGTTATCATCTACTTATATCACTCTGTTTATAAGTCTGGTCAATAATAAATATGCATATATTTTTGTTATATCCTAATGAGTAGGAAATTCATGTTTCTGACGTTTTGTGATTTCATGTAAGCCACTTCTTCAGAGTGAATAAGTGACCGGATCAGGTCACGAAAACCCAGACATATAATTTTCTACTCATTAGGATATAACAAAACAAAATATATTTATTTCTACTTGATGCTCAACTTATTTGAAACTATCAATACCTAAAAAGTATGGTCAGTTATAATCCTAACATGACTTCGTGAAACCACTTGTGGTTGGGTCAAACTGTTATGACGGTTAGCGTCCAAAATCTTGTACCGATGCATGACGTGCTACGCGCGAACTGCCCAACTAACTAGTTGAGCGGGAACAGAAGACTGGATGAGAAAGTATATTGAGCTACCGAATAAAATGCAAACTTTACTTCTAATGTTTTCATTTTTTACTACCATTCACTCGACTTGTTTAATTTTTGTCCTGCAAATTTTGTCTCTTTGCTAATGTAAAATGTTACCATTTATAATATGTCCTAATTTGATATGGTGGTTTAGGTTTCATCAGAGGTTTCCATTAACTATGGAAGACTGAAAGCCAGAGAGTATTGAGTGAGTGTTTCATATGTTATGGAGGAGGGTTTTAGTGATTTGATGGTACAAATGTTTGGTCGTTACAGTCACTTTGGTCAATGGATGGTAGAAAAAATTACAGAAAATGTGGTTGGTTAATGACTGCTTACTAGGCTGTTTTCTTGACGTGATCCCTCAAATGATTCAAAATCAAAAATAAGATCATCATTATCCAGATGAATAATTTTCTCATGTTGCAAAATAATATGCTTACATAAAAATACGGACACAAAATAAACATGATAAAATGTAGGTGATTGAAGAAAGTCAGTTTGTTGGTCACTCACTTTCCAATCATCTGTGGTGTGACTGATAGATTTAACACTTACTGACCTTATCGTCTTACAGTGGAACTACTCAAAAATATATACTCCT